TCTCTCTCTCTCTCTCTCTCTCTCTCTCTCTCTCTCTCTCTCTCTCTCTCTCTCTCTCTCTCTCTCTCCATCACTCTCTTGCGACTGCGTGCTTGAGATGACTGAGAGAGGCTGTTTCGTCGAACTTCCACCGCCTCATCAAGAGGTTGAACCCCGACAATCTGTCCGTGTGTGTGTGTGTATCCACATGCCAAGTCGAAGTCAAGCGTGGTAGTGTAGTGTAGAGTAGCATAGGGGTGGGTCTTTCCCGACGCCGTAGAATTTGCCCATGCCGCCGCCAAAAAGGCACGCTCCCACCCAAAAACACAGTACACGCCCACAAAGTAATCACATGACGGGCAGCCTATGGGAACCCATTTCCCCGAACACAAAACCCCACCTGTAGGTACTGCGCCAAGAAACCACCAGTAGGTACCGCGGCCCCCTCCAACACGCAAATGATATCAGTCGTCGGTTCGGTAGGCCTGAACCCATGGCCTGGATCTAGGTGCGGTCCTAAGATCTTAAGACCGCGCTTATCTAGGCCGTCAGTCTAGTCCAACCGGACGGCCCAGATCTTAGATTTGGGTCGTGGGCCTGTAAGAACCACGACGGCCTAGATTTGAGATTTGTCACATTAGCGATTTTAATAGTGTAGGGATACAACCGCAATCACGGCCAAAGCTTTGTTTCCTTTTTTTTTTTCCCTTCTTTTCTGACATTCATGACCACAACTTTTCTTCTTCTTCTTTGTTTTTTTTTCGTTCTTTCCGTGAGAGTACCAGAAAGAAAACGGAGTGGTACCCAAGCTCGGCAAACTCGGAGCGCAGTGATATTCAGGGTCGGCAAACACAGGCTCAGAGGCACTGGTGGTTTAAATAATTTCGACTAAACTCAATTAAGTCACAACTGACTTTCTCTTACCCGAACGTAAATCCAAATAAATTTCGTCAGAGTATATTATTCTCAAAATTAATTATTTCTTTGGAAACTCCTAATTTCGTATTTATTGAAAAATACTCTCAAATTAATTTTGAATAAATTCAAATTAATTAATAAAAAATTAAGCTCTGCGATTCTCTGCCACCTTCATTGCTAAATCACTTGATTACGCTCTATTCTCGTAAATAGGAATTGTCCCCCCCATCTCCACATGCCACCACGCCAAACCAAGACCTCATTCTCGTAAATAGGAATTGTCCCCCCCATCTCCACATGCCACCACGCCAAACCAAGACCTCCCAACGCGCCGCCGCCACCAACGCCGCTGCCGCTATCATATCCGCTACTACCGCCTCCACTTCCGCTTCGGCCAACTCATCCACCCCCTCTTCCCCCACCACGGCCCAATCTTCCATCAACATGTCTGATCCTCGTTCTGACTCCGTCAACAGCATTACCCGCAAACTCGCAAGCGATCAGCCAACTTCGACCACCACCACCCCGGAACTCGCAACTATCCTCCAAACGTCGACCGCCCTCAAATCCTCCCTCGCCACCATCAACACCACCATGGCCGCCATCTCCGATCGTGTCACCACGCTCGAGGGAAACTCCCCCGACATCACGGTCGTCACCACGACCACACCCCCCTCCTCCACACCCCAACCCACCCCCTCTTCCGAACAAGCCTCCGCTTCAACCTCCACACCAACACCGTTCACCTATACACCCCACCCTCATCCACCACTCCCCCCTCGCCCAAGACGACAACCCTTGTCGTCACACAGTCATCAACCGTCCCCCCCCAATCAAAACCGCACTTATCCACCTCCACTATTACCTCAACCATCCCCAATTATACCCAAATCATTCCACAAGTTATGTATCCCGCCCCTCCACTACTTCCCCCAAATGATCTCATCCCCACCAACCCCGCCAATGATTTCATCCTGTTCGACTCTCCCTCTCCCACCCTTGATTTCAATACCCTTGCCACCATTAAGTCAGAGAAGGCAAGATCCCCCCATCATTCCGCGTCAAAGAAATCCCCACCTTCTCGGGCCAACCCATGAGGATGTCCTCTTTCTCACCAAACTCCAACAAGCCTTCTCCCTCTACGGCATCCCCGTCATCCACTGGCTTCCCATCGCGGGCGACCGACTTCTAGACAATGCTGCTCACTGGTGGTACACCGAAATGTCTAATCGCCATCACGCCGGTCTCCGTGCTCACACCTTCCTTGAGCGGGCCACCTCATCACCTCCACCTTCCGCCCACAGAAAACGGTCGACGACTATATCGACCAATTTTGTCGGCTCCAACAAAACGGACCAACCAAATGTTTCGTGCAATACGTCCGCTCGCTTCGTCAACATATCCCCTTTGACGTCGTCAATGATTTCACTTTCATCTCTCGCGTTAAGCGCGACTGCCGCAAAGACCTAGCGGAGCCCCACATGACCCTCGCCAACCTCCTCACTCGTACCCTCCCACTCGACCGCATCCTCTCCCCCTACAAGACCGCACTTACATCGGCCCCTCCCCGCCCTCGCTTCTTCCACAACATCGCCTCTAAGGACACCACCTCCACCTCCTCGAACGAGTTCACCTCCCTCGACCTTGACACCCCCTCCAATCCACTAGACATCACATCACTCCCGGACGAACTCTCTCCATTCACCTCATGCGAATGGAAAAGAGAGATCGCTCCAGCCGCCACTCCCGGACCACCGGGCCGCCTCAAGATACTCACACCCGAGGAAAGAGCCTACCTTCAGGCAAAGGGTGGATGTTTCCGTTGTCACTAGTTAGGAGACCAACAAACTAACTGCCCCAATGCTAGACAATTCACCCGCCAATCCTCCGCCCCTCGACCCGCAACCTCCGCATCACCCCCCTCCGCAGGCGCGGGTCCCTCCTCGTCCTGAACACAATCCCCAGGACCTCGTCCCCGCATCGACAACTCGTCTATCAGCCAACCCGCCGATGACATCCCCCGTCCCACCGACGACCCATTTGGCATCGACAATCCATCTGCCTCCCCCCTCCCGGTGACACCCTCTCCATCGGATGAACCCGAGGTGTAGCAAGATTCATCACTTCAGATGCCCCCCACTGCTTCGTGCTCCTCCACCCTCCTTCCAAACCCAACCTTTGTCACCTTCTCCGATGTTGTCAAGGAACAAGCTCGACTCCATCGGATTGTCCGGTTAGGCAACGAACAACGCCGCCTCAACACCATTATCTCCACCGCCAACTCATTCCGCCTCACCAACCCCCCCGACACAACCATTGACATTCCCTATCTCCCATATCCGACCTCCCAAGGCTTCGTCACCCCGCATCAATTCCTCCACATGGCCTGGATGAGCACCGACTCCGCCTACTATTACCTTGTCCTTGACCGCGAAAGTCTCAAGGACTTACTCCCAATGGACAAACCCGATCAAGCCCCCCCCTCTGACCCCGCCCTCACCTCTATCCTCAATTTCAAAGACGTCTTCCCCGAGTCCCTGCCTGCCGGATTACCTCTGGATCGTAGCTAATCCCATACCATTGATTTGGAGCCCAGACATTCTCCACCTTGCCGCCCTCCATACCAACTCTCGGTTCCCAAAGCCTAAGAAATGAACCGGCAACTCGATGAGCTCCTTGAAAAAGGGTTCATTAAGCCAAGTTCATCTCCCTTGAAAAAGACTACCGCGCCTTGAACCGGATCACGATCAAGAACAAGTACCCCTTTCCTCGGATCTCTAAGCTCCTTGATCGACTTAGTGGAACCAAATATTTCACCAAGATCGACCTTCGCAGTGGCTTTCACCAAATCCGTCCCGCGCCTTGAACCGGATCACGATTAAGAACAAGTACCCCTTACCTCGGATCTCCGAGCTCCTTGATCGACTTCGTGGAGCCAGATATTTCATTAAGATTGAACTTCGCAATGGCTTCCACCAGATCCAAATCCGCGAGGAGGACACCCATAAAACCGCATTCCGCTCTCGATTCGGGCACTATCAGTTCCTCGTAATGCCTTTCGAACTCACCAATGCCCCCGCCACATTCCAATCCTCCTCGAAGACTGTGTCGTCGTGTACCTTGATGACATCCTCATCTTTAGCCCCACCTTTGAGTCCCACCTCTAGTATATTCGCTAAGTCCTCTCGATCCTCCGATACCAAAAATTCTAGTAGGCCAGCTCAACAAATGTGCGTTTGCCGCTTTGAGCGTCGAATACCTCAGCCACATTGTCTCCGCTGAAGGCATCCGTATAGACGCCTCGAAGGTCACAGCCCTCATCGAGTACCCACCGCCCAAGACCCTCCTCCAACTCCGTTCCTTCCTTGGCCTTGCCAACTATTACCGCCCGTTCATTCGCAACTTTTTCAAAATCTCTTACCCTCTCCACGAACCCACCCGCAAGGACGAGCCCTTCAATTGGAACGATCGTCGCCAACACGCTTTTGACTTACTCCAGCAAACCATCACCACCGCCCCTATCCTCAAGATCGCCGACCCCACTCGCCATTTCTATGTCACCACTAACGTCTCTGACTTCGCCATTGGAGCCGTACTGTCCCAACATTTCCCCCGCGACGTTATCGAGACCCCCTCCATCAAGGACTCACCCACTCACCCCGAGGCTCCTTCCCGCAGAGATGAATTACCCCTCCAACGAGAAGGAACCCCTCGCCGTGATTCACGCCCTCACAATCTGGCGCTCGTACCTCGACGGGCAATACTTCACCATCCGCACTGACAACACCATCATCTCCTTCATCCTCTCCAAGAAAGATATCACTCCACGCCAAGCCCGCTGGCTAGACTTCCTTGCCCAATTCACATTCACCATTTGCCACACCCCCAGCAAAAGCAACCGCGTTGTGGATGCCCTCTCTCGACGACCTGACCACAAGCCCCCCAAGAAAGTCTACGCCGCCATGACTCCTATCCAACTCCCATCACTCCATCACCGATACACCCAAGGCTACTTCTCTTGCCCAGATTTCGCCACCATCTACAACAAGCTCCGCGATCTTGACCCACTCCCCGACTACTCGCTTCACGACAACCTTCTCTACATCGATACCAAAGGCACTCGCCGACTTTGCGTCCCCGACACACGTGGTCTCCGTACTCAACCCTTGGTCGAGCACCACGATGCCAAGACCGCAGGACACCTCGGTTTCTAAAAAACCTTCGATACCATCTCCTGCTACTTCTACTGGCCTTCCCTGCTCGCTGACGTCAAAGCATACATTCGCTCATGCCCCACATGTCAAGCTGTCAACCCCTCGAACCAGGCCAAACCCGGCAAGCTCCAATCATTGCCCATCCCAACTCACAGGTGGCAGTCCATCTCCATGGACTTCGTGTGCGGCCTCCCCAAGACCGACCGTGGGCATGATTGCATCTACGTCATTGTCTATCGTATGACTTCGCGCAGTGCCAAAGACGTCGCCACCCTCTTCTTCAATTATGTCGCATGCCATTACGGCCTCTCCACGAGAACATCATCGGTGACCGTGCTTCCTCTCACGATTCTGGAAACACCTCTTCAAAGCATATGGAACCACACTCGAGTACAACACTGAATTCCACCCCCAGACCGATGGACAAACCGAGAAGATGAACGATACTCTCCAAAGAATCCTGCGGAAGTATTGTCATCCACACCAACACGACTAGGACCAGTTGCTCACGGCCGCCAAGATCACCTATAACAACGTCGTCTGCCCTTCCACTAGCATGTCCCCGTTCCACCTCGATCTTGGCTACCATCCTCGCTTGCCCTCCGACTTCCTGCTTCCCTCGCAGCTCAACCCCTCCACACCCTGCCCTTCCCTCAATGAATGGGTAGCAACAATGAATCGACTCTTCAGAGAAGCAACCGAAGCCCTTGAAAGAACACAAGAACAACAAGCAAACAAGATTAACAAACACCGATGAGACTTGCAATTCAAAGTCGGGGACAAAGTCTGGCTCTCCACCGAACGCTTTGAACCCTAACATGGATTGTCAAAGAAACTCTCGAACAAATGGTTCAGACCCTTCCCCATCATTGAAAAAACCTCCGACGTCAGCTACAAACTCCAACTCCCCCCGACATGAGTTGTGTCCACCCTGTCTTCCACATGGAATGCCTAAAATGGTATCATGAATCCCCACCTCAATTCGCTGACCGACCTTATCCCCAACCTCCACCAATCATGCTTCCCACAGGCCCGGAATTCGTAGTAGAATCCATCATAGGACGAGGAGCCCGGAATTCGTAGTAGAATCCATCATAGGACGAGGAACTACACAAGTATCAGACCATCCAGAACCTATCAAAGAATACAAAGTCAAATGGACTGGATACCCCGATGAAGAATCTACATGGGATCCTCTCTCTAATCTCAAGAACGCTATCAAACTTCTTCGCGCCTATGATCGCGCTCACCCTATATCCTAGATACATCCCCAACCTTAAACCCCTACATAAACCCCTCCTTGACCCCGCCAACACCCCGCATTACTCACTGCACACACCCCTGCCCCCATCAAAGCCCTTGCCCCTGCATAAACCCCGCCAACACCCCGCATTCCTGCCCTATATCCTAGATACATCTCCAACCTTAAACCCCTGCATAAACCCCGCCTTGACCCCGCCAACACCCCGCATTCCTGCCCTACACACACCCCTGCCCCCATCAAAATCGTTGCCCCTTGACCTCCCTCTGTCTGATCCGCTCTTGCCTCCGTCTCGCCCCCTTCTTCCATCTGTCCTCCGCCACATCCTTTTCCCTCTTGTCCAAGTTCCCTATGTGGCCCCTGCACGTCGCCGACAATAATGGATCTAATGGCAAGCGCACGAGGACGATGGCATGCGGCAACTCAGTATGAGGAGATAAGACAGCTGGTTGGCCACCATGCTGTTCCCTTTGGCCGGCACCTTGGACACGCAGCCTTCTGGAGCAGCACCTCTGCCAGGGACATCAAGATCCGAGTAACGGACGCATCCTGCTACTGGGACATTCAAGCTGAAGCTCTCGCCGTCCACATCACAGACCTGCTGAATACTGCTTTCTCACCGACACTTCTGCGATGCCTTTCAAGACCTGTTCTCAAGACACCTTGTTTCCCCGTTGTTTCCAACCCCTTAGTTCATCAGTAGGATTACCCTGTCCCAACCCCCTTAGCACATCAGTAGAACAACCCTGATTCCTGCAAAACTCCTTAGCTCGTTGGTAGGATTACCCTGTTCCCCGTGCTTCCCAGCCCCCTTAGCATATCAGTAGAAATACCCTGCAAAACCCCTTAGCTCTTTGATAGGATAACCTTGTTCCCTCTTACTCCCTGACCCAGGCCACTGTGGCCACCCACAGTATACCCCTCTTCCTTTGAAATGCAGTGATCGGCCCCGTCACGTCCTTCCCATACTTCAGCATTGTTTCACAGCCTTTGGCAGCCGGGACGTTGCCTTTTAGAGGGGGGGAATAGTGCTACGGACTAAGCCAGGGCTCGATCCCTGGTCCGCAGGGTACCAGCCGCCAGGTTGCTTCTTTTTTTTTTTTCCTTTTTTTTTTTTTTTTCTTTTCTTTTCCTGCTCTTCGGTTTCTGACTGTTGGCGCCCTCTGCAGTTGGCGCCCATTTTCAAATGCTTCCTTTGGCACTTTCGGATTTCGACACTTCGCGCCATACGGCATTCTGGCGCCCAGACTCACACCTGCGACCCTCAGTTCAGTCCTGAGGCAGGCCGCACCTCGGCCCTCCAGACTGAGCCTGAGTCCGGTACTTAAGACTGGACTCGAGCCCCGTTGGGGCATTCAGTCTTCGGCCTCCGTGCTTGTGCTTCAGTGTGACTTGCCACGACTTTGTGTTCGGAATCCAAGATTGCAACTTTGCGACTTCGGGACTTTGCCACGTCGTGTCTGCGTCTGTCGTGTCGAGTCGAGTCCGTGTCTGAGTCAAGTGTGTGTGTGTGTGTGCTCTCACTCTCTCTCTCTCTTCTCTCTCCCCCTCAGGAATGCCACCCTGTCTCTGCCTCATCACAATTTCGGTCCTGGGAAGTCTTGGATATTGTGGGGAATGATTTGGATGGTCCCTTGTATGTCATTTGTCTCCCTGGTCACCTATGCACTCACCCTGTTTTCACGCCTCCAAACTTGCACCTTTCGCTGAGACAGCATGGGAACGGAGATCTATGCTGCCCCCAACCATGGATGGCCACGTGGACGCCGACGACATCCTGGATCACAGAGACACGCCTGTTCCCATGCCACCTGGCAGGGGAAGACATCCTAAACCTGCAAGGGAAAACAAAGTACATTTCAGGCATCATACTGATCCTAAGGAAGATCGGTGGATTTCAAGGGAGGAACTTTTCAAGACAGCTGCTCAGATCGTGGCAGATAATGAGAAAAGACTGAAAGGAATGCACCATCATGAAGCGCATCTCAGCGGACTTTCGAAGCTAAGGGGGATGGAATGTGAGGAACAAGCCCTCAAGGGGCCCTATCAGACATCACATGTTCTGGGCTAAGGCCCCCAGTAAGCCGAGGGCCCACCCTAAGTGAAGGCGGGCCTGAATTTTTGTCAGAGGCTAAAATTCAACATTTCCATATGTGGGTATTCAGGCTCTCGCAGCACATGCGTGAGCCTCACTAAGCTGCGTCATACAGTTGGCCCAGGCCATGACAGTTGCACCTGGGCACATACACACAAAGCAGGGCCGATACATTTGGAAAAGCAGTACTGCCTACACACCTGCCTGGGAGCCCTGCACAGATGCAGCAAACAGCCCAAGTCTGGAGACTGAGGTGGTGCCCAACTGAAAAGGGCCCAGACCCTCAACCGTAATCTTGGGCCTGGGCACAGGGTCTGAGGCCCAACTGGAAGCTACTGGAAGCTTCCAGCCAGGCCACACACAGCATCCAGGAGGCTGCCACTTCCATAAAAGAAGCGAGGCAGCCCAGGCCAGGCATTCTGGCCAGTGCTGGCAATGTGGAAATGCTGCTGTGCTCTCGCTTGATGCTGCGCTGCTGCCAAAGGCGCTGACGGGGCGCGTACTGGTGAGGAGGGGTGCTGAAGGGCAGCGAAGCGCAGGCAGGCATAGCCGAACTGCTGGGCGACAGGGGGTGCAGCGGGTGATCTGGCGGTCTTCAGGGAAGGAAGCGAGTGTGGGGTAATCAAGGTCTGATTGAGGGTGATGAGATAAATACCTGGTGCATGAAGAGAGGTCGGCTATGGAGTTGACAGTCATGGTCTTCGAGAGTTGAAGTGAGCCTGTTGCGTGAACACAGCTGTAGGTAGGATAGTCGGGTAGAGTAGGCTGGGCGCTGGGCGCCAGACAGAGAGTAGCGACTTTGGATTCTGTGTTGGTGTGGCCTACGGGCGTGGACATTGACTCGTTACTTCGTTGTATTGCTCTATATGGATGGTTTTCTCGGTGCATTTGTACTCTCTGCTTGGACACAACTACTTGGACATCTGTGTGATTTCGCAACTTGGTTTTCTGTATATCTTTCACACTCATATTCCTTGCAATATGACAGACTGCGCCCAAAACAAATAGAAATAAAACTGCTGTGTTTTTTTCATGACCGGGTGACTGGGTCACGGTACCTGCCCAGCAATCACACCCAGCTGACCGGCCGGTGCAGCCGGTCATGAAGATCTTCCTCACCTTCCTCCACCATCGCCTCCTCCCTCCGTCACCTCCCCCCACCATCACCTCCCTGCACCATCACCTCTCTTCCTCTATCCCATTGCCCGCCATCAGATGTTTCATCCTCCAACCAAGTCCCTTCCCCCTCAAACTACCTCCGCCATCGCCTCCTCCCTCCATCACCTTTCTCCACCATCGCCTCATCCATCCATCATCACCTCCCTCCACCATCGCCTCCTCCCTCCAACACCTCCCCTGGCCCACGTCCCTTCCATCCATCAACTCCCTCCGCCATCGCCTCCTCCCTCAATCATCACCTCCCTCCACCATCGCCTCGTCCCTCCACCGTCGCCTCCTCCCTCCAGCACCTCGCCTGGGCCCCTCCCCCCCGCCAAAACCTGCCGGCAGCAAAGAAAGAGAAATCCAGAATCTGGCCCCTCTTGGGCAAACATAGAATGAAGGACTGCGCCCGGAAAAACAAAGCTGCGTTTTCTTCATGACCGGCCGGTGCAGCCGGTCATGAAGATCTACCTAGGTTCTCTCCTTCCCCCCGGGACAATCAGGACGTTCCTAGCAAGCTCTAATCTATACAGGGAGTAGTACCCAGGATCCTAACCCCTGGCGATGGGTGGGAGGGGAAGAAGTGCCCCTATCAAGACCAACCTTAAGGGGCAAGCCAACTATCTCAGCTGGTGAACCTGCAGTGCGCCGCCAGATCCTATGGACGACACTTAATTTCTGATGGCAATACATTATCGCCAAAGTTTAGGAGCACTGCTTCTTTTCAGCCCAGCAAAAAAGAACACTGGAAGGACAGACTGGAGTGAGAGAGAGAGAGACAGATAGAGAGATATATGCTAGCACCTGCTGGGAGTACTTCAGAATTCGATCAAATTCTCTTCTTTCAGCCAACGTTGCGACCACCTTCGCCTGTCTCTTATACACATCTAGATGTGTATAAGAGACAGAAAGAACACTGGAAGGACAGACTGGAGTGAGAGAGAGAGAGACAGATAGAGAGATATATGCTAGCACCTGCTGGGAGTACTTCAGAATTCGATCAAATTCTCTTCTTTCAGCCAACGTTGCGACCACCTTCGCTGCTGCCCGTGCTTTAATGAAGACCTTCAGTGCCATCTCTGCATCCACAGGCTGCAACATCGCAAAGCAAGGCCGAAAGACAGATTCACAAATTATGTCATTCGCCTAATCTCTGCGCATGTTAGTACAAAGATGCAGCTAAGACACCAAATAACAGTTCGACCACATTGAGGTACTTGGAACAACTTACTTCCTTTGTACACAATCAGCTCGTAACATGAAGGTGAAGCATGGATGGCGAAACGATGTGCACATTTTCAGTGCATGCTCATTGCATCGACTTGCCTCCACATGACCCAACTAGGAGCACATCACTAAACACCCCTCTTCCCACCCACTTTGTTTCCTTTCCCTCCAACAGCACCTTCATCATGATTGCAACAGCCCCCCAAGATTTTGGAACCTGAACAGCAACAATAGCCAGATACATTTGTAAGAGGAACTGAATGGTTGCTGGTCCCATCTAAAATGTGGCATACAGTACAGCTTCCTTTGTTTCACTCCTCAGATTTGAAAACCTCCTTCGTTTCACTCAGAGACAAAATCACAAATTTTCTCCTTCCGAAACAGGACTAGAAAACAAAACGAAAACCAACCAGAAAGCCATCCAGCAGCGCTGTTCTCCTTGAACCACCAGTACATGGCCCCAGCCAACTTGAGAATCACGATTGATCAATCCGAAAAGTGCTACCGGACCAAAATGGCTGGTGGCGAAAGCCAAAAGCAAACAAAAAACATCGTGCTGGCATTTTGGCAGAGGGTGGTTTGAAGCTCGTGAATTTTACCTCAGATGTACTCGTGGTTTAGTACCCCTCCAGACTAGTACCTCGTCCTATCTATAGATTTCTCCATTGAAATTTATTTCCCTCTTCCAAAGCATTCAGAACAGCATAGGGAAAGCAAAGAAAATAAGGCTACCACCCCTGAAAGGGGGTTTTGGGGGGGGGGGGGGGGNGGGGGGGGGGGGGGGGGGGGGGGGGGGGGGGTAATACTCGCCCCCCCCTTCCTTTCAAGCACTTGACTACCCCTTATGCCAATCCTGAACTGCACTCCACCTTCAACTATGTGCATTCTATACCGTTCCTTATTTGTTAGAACATCCAGAAGCGATCCAGGACGCCAATGAAAAGCACAAACAGGGCCAGAAGAGGAGGGTAAAAAGAGATGGAGCGAGCATTTAATTCACGATCCAAGCTTATGACCTGCTTATCAACAACAACATGACACTTTCCAAAAAGAGTAGGAAAAACAAAACCGAATTTGCCAGACAATCATGGAGATGACCAAGGCAAATCCATGTCTTCCATTCTGAAAAAGTCATAAATGGCTAAGCTATCAGAAGTCATGCAGCTTAACATGTGCAAGTACAGGTGCATGTTGATGTGAAAACATAATGAATGAGTAATTACCCACCAGATCTAAGACAGCCTTGTACATCTGCCTTTGAAAAGACGTGGTGTTTCATCTTACCTTGACGAGGTCTCCAAGCTCTTCACTGCACTCCAGCTTATCTTCGTTGAGCCAATTTTCAAGCAGGTTTCTTTTGTTTTGAGCAAGGACCAGCTTCGATAATTCAATCGCTTCTACAGCATTTAGCGAACCCTTGGACAGCAACGCACCGAAGTACTGCAGGAGTGGCGATGTCTGCCCTGGAATAGCCGGTACGCTCTACATTGGCGCATTTCACACAAGACAACATGCCGCCTAATCAATAAACAGAATCAGTGACGAGCACACATCCTTCAGTGTAGTCTACTGTTTTGCCTTTGTAGACAGATTGAGAATGAAATCACACAGTCTTCAAACATCCTTCAAGTACAGGAAACACCACAGACCACTTGTCAGCCTCCCTAGCATGGTCAAGCTCAAGCGCCTAACCTCAGTACGATGAGCGAAGTACCGCATCGACATACATACTTCCCCGACATTCCACGCCAGACACCCACCCTCCGGATGATGGCCTGCAGACCTGCTGGGCATGATAACCGCATCTGCCCCTGAACTCCACTCTTCATGGAGTCATGTGAACAGTACGTGGTAGACTGCACGTTGAGAGTGTAATGCAGCCCCAACTCACCTTTCTATCACTCGCTTGCCTGGCCAACGCCTAACACTTAGCAAAGGCTCCACCTTAACAAGTACATTCCCAGAAGCATACTCAGACAGACCACCCATAGAGCCATCCGATACTTGCGGTTAAAACTTACCAGAAGCAATTTCTCACCTGAAATCGGAGAATTGTTTCTGGTTTCCTAAGGATTCCCTGCGGCGATTCTGCAGCTAGCTCAGCAGCCTCCTTGTACTTCATTTGTGCAAAGAGCTCTTGAAACCTTTGGACCACCTGCAAAATTCACAGATCGCACTGGAAAACTCAGAAACAAGCATTGGTCAACATCACATAGTCACATTGGGTTAGGTTCAGTGCGTTGAGTGCATTCACCTTACTCTTTATAGTATGCAGAAGAAAGTAAGCGCATGAGAGGAAGAGGAGCAACAAAATACGGGATAGCATCGGAGCAACACAAAGAGCAAGACACCTTTTAGGGATGAATGTGGAAGCGAGACATAACTGAGGGTGACAATCGCGAAAGTAAACAAGGGATCTTAAAGGTTACAGTTGGGGGCAGGGCTCTGTAAGTGGGGCTCCTGCTGGGTTCCGAAGATCATAATTTTTTGGCCTTCCTTGACACCTACAATTCCACACTTCTGTTCGTTGCACATTCTGTCTCAGAACCCTTCTGATATACGCCTGTTTGGGACATACTGCAAAAACCCGTGTAGATGTTAGCTAGCTTCCAAGCATACGTCAACTCACACACATTCATTTGACATCTTGCGCAGGATTTGGTTCCAGCTATTGCCATGAGTTTGCTGCTGGACCTCTTTCCCAAATTCCCATTCATTGTCCCAGTCAGCTACACATCGAAATATGCCAGCTGACTCCCTCCTCAGACTCAAGACGGAGGTAAGCTATAGCAGACAGAAAGAGAACCATTGGAGCTAGAAAATATTCTGTGTGCACTGTTCACACCATCATAATTAATAGTGTACAAGATGGGCCAGTGCGGCTTTGCCCGTATGAAAAATAGGTCAGTAAGTCTCACACACACGAACATTGGGTTTTCATGAAAAGAAACTGCACTGTCACCTTGATAAACGTCGCTGAGGTGTCTAGCCCCTGCGCCATCCCCACCCCTCCAAAGGTTATGACCAGGTTGCGGCGCATGTGTGCGTTGCGTGGTGCGCATCGTTGCGCAGTGCACTGGTTTAGCAGTGTGCGCTGCGACCTGTGCGCCGAAAAAAAATACATGTTAAACATGCCCCGCCCCCCCCCGGCGCACGTGTGCGCTGCGTGGTGCACATCGTTGCGCAGTGCGTTGGTTTAGCAGCGTGCGCTGCCACGTGTGCGCCCGGTGCACCGAAAAAAATAAATGTTAAACATGGCCCACACCCCCCCTTCCCCCCTGCAACCAGCCTCCCCCCCCCCCTCTGGTGCACGTGTGCGCTGCGTGGTGCGCAGTGCGCTGCGACCTGTGCGCCCGGTGCGCCGAAAAAAAATAAATATTAAACATGCCCCTCCCCCCCCGTCCCCCCCTGCAACCAGCAGCCCCCAGCAACCTTGATGATACAGAGTAGTGCGGGCCAGGGGAGCACCTGCGCTGCTGTTGCTGCCAGAAGGACGTCGCAAGGAGTGGAAGAGGCCAAGGCCGAGGTGGCCAGGCCTCTGGTGGTCAAGGACAGGACGGCCAGGGGGTTGGTGGAAGAGGAAACCACCAAGTGGGAGGCAGGGGTCAAGGTCCCCCGTCAAACCATCCTCGTTCTGATCGATCACCTCCCGGAGGGGTTGGTTGGCACCCCAGTCGGCCTGAGGGACGGCCCAGGGAAACTTTGGGCATTGAGAAGGAAGATTGGCAGGACAGAACAGATAAATTTCAGTGTGTGTTCTGCGGTGACCCCCAGGCACTCAGTGTGTGTTCTGCGGTGAACCCCAGGCACATCATCAAATTTTGCCCGAGGTACAGGGGTGCCCGAAGGGCTGCTGCTGCGTCGGCAAAAGGCAACTGCCGGTAGGGGTAGCAACTGCCCTTACCACTAGACCGCGCGGAGATGAGTGCACGCGCCAGATAAAAACTCCCACTTCACATACATCTACGGCAGAGGTTGCTGGCCAGCGTCTCGTTAACTGTCCAGAGACTGCTTGTGTTAGTCTCTCTTGAAACGGTTTTCACCTTTCTGCAGTAGCAGATGCAGATCCCAGGGCTCGATCCCTAGACCTCGCCCTACCTGTGTTTAGTACCTGTGTAGACCCCGAGAGTTTAACCTGTGACCTGTGTATCCGTAAACAGTTGGTAGGCTGTCCTAGGTTCGTAGGTAGCAAGGGTTCGATCTGTAGGTCTGTCGAACAGAAGTCTTAGCGAAGTCTAGAAGTCCTAGCTGTAGCAAGTGGGCAAGTGGGCAACTGGTGAGTCAAGTGGTGGACTAAACTGCAGTGCAAGTGCAGTGCGACGGTGGTAGGGTACCAGTGAGTCCCCACTCAGTCAGCGGTAAGGTCCAGTCAGTCACAGTCCGGTCCAGGAAGTACCACGAGGGACTGTGAGCACCATGGGCCAATGGAAGAGGGCAGACCAACGAGTTTCAGAAGTATAAATCAAGAGGCAGCGCCCAGCCTTTCATTCATCTTTACGCATAGGCCAACCAAGCCAACTTTCAGGCATTAAAATACGTTTTAAAGAAGGATGACTTTCGTATATTATTCCTAACATATCATAAGATTCTCTTTCTTGAAAGTTAGCAGTTTCCCATGCGGGAGCGCTGCCACAGCGACTTGTGCAAGGAGGTCTGCAGTGAGCCCGGAGCTGAAGTGGGCGAGAGAGGAGAAGTATAGCGATAGGGTAGACTGCGTCCATAGCCGCCATAGTTAATGTGTAGTGAGTGTGTGTGTGTGTGAGTTCAGAGAGTCGTGTGTGGGATATCCAAGGTGATCCGGTGTATGTGAACAGTGAGTCGTTTGGGCGCTGAGTCGCCATAGCCAATTGAAATGAACTCGTATCTGGATGCCATATCTCTGAGTTTTGAAGTGGGCGCATGTCGCCGGTTTGCTGCGCTACAGTTTACATGCATGAAAAGTGTGAATGAGAACAAGTCTGATTGCATTCGTATCGGAGCTGGTACCCGCTATTCCACGCGTCGAGTGGTGTGTCGTAGGAGTGTGCGCCATAGCAGAGGTGGCCGCCGAGAGGCATAGTCCGCCATAGCGGACCTGAAGGTTGGAGAAGCCGCCGCGCACCTGCAGAGAAGACCACGACGAAGAGAGAGAGAGAGAGAGAGAGAGAGAGAGAGAGAGAGAGAGAGAGAGAGAGAGAGAGAGNGAGAGAGAGAGAGAGAGAGAGAGAGAGAGAGAGAGAGAGAGAGAGAGAGAGAGAGAGAGAGAGAGAGAGATTGCGGTTTAGTTGTCACTGACCTGTGAAGTGTGTCGTGCAGTCCCACGAAGATGAAGATTGCGGCCATAGCCGCGGAGTTTGACCACGGAGTAACGAAGGAGGGAGAGAGACCGGACAGAGGGAGAGACCAGACAGAGGGAGAGACCGAGAAGGGAGAGACAGAAGCCATAGCCGAGGAGGAGGAAGGAGAGACGAACAAAAAAAAAAAAAAAAAGACAAGAAGAAGACAGCCGGGGTGAAAGGAGGCGAGGAAGGTGAAGAGAAGAGGGAGGTTGGTGAGGGAGAGAGAAGCCGGGGTGAAAGGAGGCGAGGAAGGTGAAGAGAAGAGGGAGGTTGGCGAGTTTCAGAAGTATAAATCAAGAGGCAGCGCCCAACCTTTCATTCATTCCTGCGTGAGCCCGGAGCTGAAGTGGGCGAGAGAGAAGGAGCGTAGCATAGCGATAGGGTAGACTGCGGCCATAGCCGCCATAGTTAATGTTTAGTGAGTGCGTGTGTGTGTGCGAGTTCAGAGAGTCGCGTTGGGATATCTAGGGTGATCCGGTGTATGTGATCAGTGAGTCGTTTGGGCGCTGAGTCGCCATAGCCAATTGAAAGTGAACTCGTATCTGGATGCCATATCTCTGAGTTTTGAAGTGGGCGCATGTCGCCAGTTTGCTGCGCTACTGTTTACATGCATGAAAAGTGTGAATGAAAACGAGTCTGATTGCACTCTAGGCGCTTCCCTCACAGGCCTGGCAGAAGAACTGAAGGAGAGAACGCCAGCCTGGGCCAAGATGAAGAACGAAGGTTAGAGCTAGAGTACGGGCCCTTATAGACAGTGCGGCCACGCATAGCTATATTCCGCAAAGCGCTGAAGAAGTTGAAGCTTGGCCTTAAAAGTCCAAAAGCTAGAAGAGCCTGTAGTCAGTTTTGGCAGGCAAAGCACCATATCTTTTGGCCAGGTGGGACAGGGTCTGCGCAATCGATCCCCGATAAGATAGGTAATCAATGCTGGCAGCAGACATGGTGAAAATCAGTTCTAAAGAGAATCGGTTCTAAAGAGGCTCTGAAGATTTCAGTGAGACGCTGGACCCATTTTCCTATTTGGAGCAACCAGGTGGCCAGATTGGAGCAACCCGATGGCCTGCTTAAAAAATATATATATTGTCACAAACAGAACTGCCCAGTAAACTGTAGGCAGAGAGAGAGAAGAGGACAACAAACGAGGGGCTGTGACAAACTGTTTCGTCGGAGTTTCACCGACTCATCAGGAGGCTGAGCCCTCAACAGTCTGCAGAATCCCCTCACTGATTACACTGTAAATGATAATCTACCTTAACCAAAATCAAAGTAGACTATCACTCACCCACACCAGACGGAAAACTCTACAGACTGTCGGTTCCCACCCCATCACAAGCCAGCAAAACATCCACGAAACAAAGAAAGGTCTGTCACATATATCTATTACAAAAACATCCATGGACACGCGGCAGTCTGACACTCACTAATACCCAACTAGGAAAAAACGGACCAATTTTTTAAAAAGATGACAATGCTTTTTGAGGGGGGGGGGGAAAAAGTATCCTCGCTGACAACCGCACCATGCGTATCGAGGATTACGTCGAGGGAGTCCAAGCATATTCTGCCTAGAGGCAGATGAGAAGGTAGAGAGAGTTCTCCATTCCCTGACTCTCCTTGTTGAAGACAATCTGCCTTTCGATATGGTGTTAGGAATGGATTGGGGAGAGGCAGCAGGAGCCACACTGCACTTACGAAGCACAAGTGTAGGCTTCCTAGTCCTTCAGGTGGCGCCAAGAGGGCCCTGCCTGTTCCATATGTCAGGAGTAAATAACTCCCTAGCACATTGCTGTCTCTACTACAAATCTGTTTAACCACAACTTAACAAATCATTCATACAACG